GAACCGGCGACCTTTCGGTTATTAGCCGAATGCTCTAACCAACTGAGCTATAGGACCTGTTCATCTTTTGATTTTTTTAAAATGATGAATATTCTAAAGGTGGAAGATGTGGGGTATTTCTAAATGCATCTGTACATACACTGCAACTCAAAGGCAGGTACTGAGGCCCCTACTATCATATACAGAGAAAAGAAAGAGAGGCCCCTGGGGGGCCCATATGATAGATCAGGGTCTTATACTTTATTCACTTATTCCTAATTAATTCATGTTATACTTTATAATATATAATGCTAACTGCATGCAGCTTCTTAATTGCGCTTCTTCTGTCTGGTTGAATAAGTAGACTTAAAAGAGTAATGAAGAAGCAAAGAAAAATAAACAAACATCTATATAACAAGCTGAGCTTCTTGTTCTTTCTTTACTCTTTTCTCAGCCTTTGCAAATAAAAATAGCTTATTAATGAGAGCCACAACACCGATGTATAATACACCTGAATGATGAACGTATCCGCATAGAAATATAAACAATTAGTTACATAAATATATAAATTAGAGAATAATGAAAAGGGAAGAAAGGAGGAGACAAAGAAGAAAAGGGTTTCACGACAGGTCCTATAGCTCAGTTGGTTAGAGCATTCGGCTAATAACCGAAAGGTCGCCGGTTCGAGACCGGTTGGGACCATCAATACTTGTTTTAATTTCATTTAATAGTTATTAATTCATTTTTAGTATTGTCTTTACTCTTTTTAATCATATTCTTTATTTCAAACATTATTAAACAACTTCTGTTTGTTTGTTCTACATTATATGCTGTTCTACTTACTAACTAGCAACAGCTGCTAGTAGAGGGGCCCCTAAACATAATAACCCCTGCCTCTTGCAGGGGGCCTCTTTGTTTGGCTTCCTTCGTCTTTTTATTTCTCTTTTTCTGTGTTTTTTCAATTATATATACTAAAAATAAAACACAAATAATACACAAATGCCTCTTTGAGTTGATTTTCTTCTCTGACATCAGCGGCCTTTGCCAGCTGCTCTAAGACAAAGGGGGTTTATTGCTGCGGTTTCCACAGCGTAAGGGCCAACCCTCTGCGTTTGTTTGAAGTTTAAATAGATTATAACAATTAAATATATTATTTCATTAAACTTTTCGAAGAAAGTTCCCAGGTGTATAGGAGGAGGCGTGCAGATTGAGCTGCGTATACACCTGAAGCATTTTAACAGTTTCAGGGTTTATTTTGTCGTTCTTTCACCACCTTTAATTCTATAGAAGGATATTTCGTAAGCAAATGCATTAAAATGGAGAAGGGGAAATTAGACCGCCGCAAAAGCCTCTCGCATCCTTCTCTTCTGGAGAGAAGTCTGCAAAAGTCTAAACATGAGGTACTCTAAACTCTCAACCCTAAACCCTAAACCCTAAACCCTTCCAGTGTGTCTTCACTCCCTGGTGTTCAGCGAGCTACACCGTCTGTGCATCTCAACATTCAAATACCTTATAATAACATAATCATACGCCCTAATGGGGCTTCCTTTTTAAAGAGGTTCAGGCTCCCTGGTGAAGGCAGTATTCATAAAAGGGGCCCCTTAAGGGGTTGGGGGCCCCTAGTGAGTTGTGTGCGATGCCTGTTGGTTAGCAGCAGGAAGCGCATGCATGCAGCTATTTGTTTTGTTTGTTTCTTTTTCTTAACTCTTCTTCAGGTTAGCCTCAGCGCTTTTGCTTTTCTCTTCTCTGAGATCGTTCAGTACTCATTAAGTGCTGCTAAAAGAGGATACCGTTTGGAAGACAGGTCAGACACCAGGCAGCAGCAGCATGCAGCAGCAGCATGCAGCAGCAGCAGCAGCAGCAACAGCATTTTTCTGCAGGTGTTTGTTTGTGTATGCTATGTTGTTTCTTTGATAGTGTTTTGTTGTTTATATCTGTGTGTATAATATATTAATTTTATTTATTTTTATTTTCTGTTATGATGTAAGTAATATCCTTTAAATGATTTGTTTGTGTGTATCTGTCTTATAATAATTATTTTGTTAATTGTATCTGTCTTATGAAGGTAAAATACAAGAAGATCAAAGCAAACATATTATCTTACAATAATATATTTGTTTGCGTTTTGTTTGTTTTAATTATTTTTTTCGTGCAGACTTCACGAGCTTGGCCTACGTATAGGGCCTCGCGTATTAGATTTATTAATATATAGAGAAAGAAATAATAAAAGAGAGATACGTCTGCTCTCAATTCTTAGTTTTGTTGCTTCTTGTGTTTGGAGGGCTCTCTTCGGACATAGTTTGGAGCTTTTAAAGGCACAAGACAGCGAGCTAGAGTGTACGTACACCCCAAATATGCAATCAAAACAATATATATATATATTGCTGTATATTTAAGTCTATTAATTAAATTGTTTATTTATCTCGGTTAGTTTTAACTATTTCTACATATTGCTATAAATTAAATGGTTTATATAGCTCTATATATATATATATACATATACATATAGATATATATAGATATATAGATATATATATATATATAGTTTGTTTACATAGAACTATTTCTACAAAAAGATATAAATTGAATAGTTTATGTTATTTGTTGTTGTGCAGACATGCTGAACGACAAGAATCTGCTCTTAAACAAATATATTGCAGTGCCCAGAGATCTGTCGCACGTTAACTGCGGCGCTTTTGCTGCTGGCATCATTGAAGGCATCCTCTGCAGCGCAGAATTCGTCCGCTGCTGCTGCTGCTGCTGCTCCTGTTGCTACTGCTGCTGCTGCTGCTGCTGCTGCTAGTGGTGGTGGTGGTGCTGCTGCTAGTGGTGGTGCTGCTGCTGCTGCTAGTGGTGGTGGTGGTGGTGCTGCTGCTGCTAGTGGTGCTGTTGCTGCTGCTAGTGGTGCTACTGCTGCTGCTAGTGGTGCTGTTGCTGCTGCTGCTAGTGGTGCTGTTGATGCTGATGCTACTGGTGCTGCTGTTGCTGCATCTTGCTGCTGTTGCTGCTGATGCTACTGGTGCTGCTGTTGCTGCTGCTGCTACTGGTGCTGTTGCTGGCGATGCTGCTGCTCTTGCTGCTACTGCTGCTGATGTTGCTTTGCTTGTACTACTGTTGCTGCTCTATATGGGGCTCTGGCTGCTCCTTCTCTTGCTGCTACTTTTGTTGCTTTTCTGTCGCTGCTGCTGCTGCGAAGTGCATTACTCTTGCAGCAGATAACGCTGTGGCTGTTGTTGCTGTTGCTGCTGCTGCTCCTGCTGCTAATTGTGTATTCAGCCTGCTGCAGTGTCTGCGCATACAGTTGAAGAGAGTGCGGGTGTTACATACACAACATTTTTAATTAAATTCTTCCCGGAGGTAGTCGAGAGGCAAAAGAGATTGGGGGGGGGCACAGCAACTGGCGGCTAAACCCTAAACCCTAAACCCTAAACCCTAAAATCATCATCAGGCGAGTTCTCTACGCCACTTAAAACTAATCACCTGCTGCTGCTGCTGAAGCAGCAGCAACAGCTGCAGGAGTCGCTGCTGCAACAGCAGCAGCAGCAACTGCTGCAGGAATCTCTGCTGCTGTTGTGTGGCACGCGTGGTTGCTGCTGCTGCGCAGACGCATGCAGCAGCAACTGCAGCAACAGCTCCTGCTGTTTGCTGCTGCAGCTCCCTGCGTCCGCCTGGAGTGTGCTATCACGCTGCAGCAGCAGCAGCAGCAGCAGCAGCAGCAACAGCTGCAGCAGATTCTGGCATGTCTTTGCCTCGCATTACTGCAGCAAGGAGGCCCACTGGCTCTGCGCCAGCTGCTGCAGCAGCAGCAAACTGCTGTTGATGCTGTCTGTCGCTATTGGGTAGCAGCGGGGAATTGCTGCACCTGCAGGGGGCCCCCATCTGGGGGCCCCCAGAATTTGCTTTGCGAGGTCTTTAAGACAAGCCTGAGTATCTGCTGCTGCTGTTGCTGCTGTTGCTCCCTTTGGAGACAACTCACTGAGGAAGTAGTTCTCCTGCAAGCCGCTGCTGCTGCTGCTGCTGCTAGTCCTGCTGGTTTTGCTGCTGCTGCTCTTGCTGCTGATGCCGCTGCTGCTGGTCTTTGAGAGGGTAGAAGCTGCAGCGAGACACAAGTGCAGCTGCGCACACCGAATGCACGAGAGATTTTGCAGGTACCTGTTACTGCAGCTGCTGGATTTGCTGCTGCTGTTGCTGCTGCTGTTGCTGACGTGCTGCTTCTGTCTTCCCCCCGCCTCAGAGCTTAGTTCTTCCGATTTGCTGCACGTTGGGGCTTCTTGCTGCTGCTGCCGTTCTCTGTCTGCCGCTGCTGCATCTTCGTCCGCGGCTGCAGCAGCGGCAGCAACAGCAGCAGCAGCAGCAGCGCCGCTGGCCCCACCCCCATCAGCATCACCAGCACCAGCAGCAGCAGCAGCAGCAGCAGCAGCAGCAGGCTGTCTCTTCTCCAGCCTCCTTGTATGCTCCTCTCGAGAATAGCAAAAAGCAACAAGAGACAAACAACGGCTTCCATACAGCCGCTGCATGCGCGCAGCAAACCCAGGCGTTAGATGAACACCCTCAACTAACACCAACTGAGGGGCCCCCCCAGGGGGGCCCCCAAGGGGGCCCCCTGCAGCACTGGGGCCCCCTACTGCAGCATCTTTATTCTCAGCAATAGCTGCTTTTTCTTCTACGGGGCTGCCAGCTTCGCTGAGGGTATCGGCAGCCCCGTTCTTTAAGGGGGGGCCCCCAGTGCTGGGGGCCCCCTCTTTACTGGTGGGCCCCTTGGGGAGGGGGCCCCCTTTACTGGGGGTCCGCTTGGGGGGGGGGCCCCCTTTGCTGGGGGCCCCCTGGGTTGTAGGGGGCCCCATTAAGGAAGTGATAAGGGGTTCTAGAATAAGCTGCTGCAGCAACACCGCCTGCTGCAGCATACCAAGCAGAGAGGAGCAGGGGCCCCTCTCTCCGCATGATAAACAAACAGTCGGCTCGGGGGCCCCCCTTACAAACCCTAATTCTTCTCTTATATCATTTTCTATCTTGTGCTGCATCTGCGAGATGTCTTTATTGCCTTGCGTAGCTGCTGCTGCTGCTGCTGCTGTTGGTTCTGCTGCTGCTGCTTCTGCTCCTGGTGCTGCTGCTGCTTCTGCTCGCTGCAGCTGTTGCTCTGCAATGTGTTTGAGTTTGTAAGTGCTGCTGAAGAGAAGATCCCTAATAAGCGACTGATGGGGGCCCCCAGCTGCTGCTGCTGCTGCTGCTGTTTCTGCTGCTGCTTCAGGGCCCCCTGCAGCAGCAGCAGCCGTCCTCAGGAGTTGTCTAAGTGCGTCTGTAGACAGCAGCAGATAGGAAGCGCCGCCGCCGCCGCTGCTGCTGCTGCTGTTGCTGTTGCTGCTGCTGCTGCAGCTGCTGAGCAGCGGAAAACTACGCATTAAAAGGTGCAGCAGCAGAGGCAGCAGCGTGCTCTTCCCGCTGCCAGAGGGGCCCCCCAGCAGCACAAGGAGAGGGCCCCCAGGAAGGGGGCCCCCTCCGAGATTGGGGGCCCCTACATACCCCTTGAAATTCACAGGAGAGCGCAGCAGCGCTGCATCTGTCTTTGTATCATCTTCTGGTTTATGCTGCCGCCGCTTCTCCCTGCTGCAGCTAAGCTGACCCTCAGCAGCTCCCGCTGATGCTGCTCCCCCTGCTGCTGCTGCTGCTGCTGTTTCTGCTGCTGTTGCTGCTGCTACCCTCATCGAAAGCCGCGGCAGACGCAAAGCCCCTGCAGAGACATCTGCTGCTGCTACTTCCAGCGCACGGTCAAACCTTGCCCTAGCAGCAGCAGCAGCAGCAGCAGGGTGGGGACCCCGGCCTCTTACTTCAGGGACCGCCGGATTAGGGGTCAAGGAGCTGCTGCTGCTGCACCTGCTGCAGCTGCTGCTGAAGTAGGAACCCTCTGCTGCTGCTGTACTGATGAGGGGCCCCTTGGATACCGCGACCCCCCGGAAGGGGGGGAGAGTGGGGTATGTAATTCGGCAGCTGAAGCTATTGCTGCTGCAGTTGCTGCTGCTGCTGCTGCTGCTGCTGCTGCTGCTGCTGCTGCTGCACTGCAACTGGACTTCAATCTTAGGGACTCTATCAGGGCACTTCGTCACCTGCTGTATTAAGGCGTCGCTAAGAACGCTGTGCTGCAGTTGACCCTCATCTGCTGCTGTTGTTTCTGCTGCTGCCTCTGGAGGTGTTGCAGTTGCTGCTGCAGTTGCTGCTGCAGTTGCTGCTGCTGCTGCTGCTGCTGCTGCTGCTGCTGTAGTCGGTGCTGCAGTGTCTGTAGCTTCATGTTTCTTGCGTCTTTTAGAGGAGGCAATTTGGTGTGGAGGTGCTGGGTGGAGGCCCTTGGGGGCCCCTGTTTCTTCATCTGCTTGTGCAGCAGCAGCAGCTAGCACTGCCGAGCGTCGGGGGAGGGGCCCCCTGTTCATCATGATGAGATAAAGTGTTTGCTGCTGCAGGGCCTCTTCATGCGTTTAGGTGCTATAAAAAACCCTGGGTTTGTTAATATGAGGCCTGAGGGTAGCAGCAGAGCAGCAAGCAGCACTTAGCTGCTGCTGCTGTCTATGGTTCTGCTACTGCTGTTGCTGCAGTTGCTGTTGCGGGGTAGAAGAAGAAGAGGGTTTATTAGAAAGAGAAGTTTCAATGCATTTTAATGAATTTAAATCAATTTAAATATAAAAATAATGCTCTGTAAGAAAAGGCGAAGCAGCACAGCTGCCGATGCTGCTACTAAAGCTGCTGCTGCTGCAGCCTGCTGCAGCAGCGGCCAGAAACTGGGTGTTTATGTTTTTTATCGTAGAAACAAACGTGAGAATAATATATTTTTAATCAAATTAATATACTTCAACTTCAAAGAGATATTTATTTAGCATAAGGGGCAGCGCAGAAGCAGCTGTGCACAGACAGCCACGCACAGCTGCTGCTGCCGAGACACTGAACTTCTGCAGCTGCTGCTGCTGTTGTTGCTGCTGTTGTTGCTGCAAGTGCGTAGACTATTGTTGCTTCCTTGGTTAGGTAATAAAGTAAAGAATGTACGGTATGTGTGCTTAGCCAACCGCTCAGCTGTAAGCCCTAAACTCCACCCTAAACCCTAAACCCTAAACCCTAAACCCTAAACCCTGAAGGAAGGCACACGTACAGAATCCTAAATGCTGCAGCACGAGCCACCAAACCCTAAACCCTAAACCCTAAACCCTCATTTTCTGAGGCATCGTTTAAGGGCCTCAGATCCTCCGCACTGTCCTCTGCAACACCGGCTGCATTATATTATATATATATATATATATATATATATATATATATATATCACTATCATACGCATTATTATCTAGTGAGATCTTAGTACTATATACAGATATATATATATATATGTACATATATATATACATATATTCATGCAAAAGATATAGAGTTAATAACAACTACGACAGTAAGAGTATATATAATACATATAAACACAAAGAAAGAACTATAAAGAAAGCAAACAAACAAATGCAGAAGGACCCGAAGCAAACAAATAACAACAAACAAACTGCCGTCATTGGGTGCTCAAACAAAGACAGGTAAATAAATAAACCCGCTATAGAGGCTGCAGCTAATGTTACTGCTTTCGCTAATGCTACTACTACTACTACTGCTGCTGCTGCTGCTCTTGCTGCCAATGCTGCTGCTGCTGCTGCTGCTGTTGCTGCTGCAGCTGCTGCTGCTGCCTTCCCTTTCGAACAAAAATGAAACTCAAGGGAAAAATTGTCTGCTGCAGAGCATAAACACAGCAAACATTGCTGCTGCTTCTGCTGCTGCTGTTCTTGCTGCAGTGGTCTGCTCATTTGGCTACACCAGCAGCAGCCGCAGCCGCAGCAGCCGCAACAGCAGCAACAGCAGCAAGGTGTATATAGAGAGGGAGCCGTCAGAAATCGTCATCACTTAAATCTGCACACAGACAAAAACAACCACGCAAATATTTTGAGGTGTACATACACCTAAAACCTGTTTCGACAAAAAAACAAAATATATCATTTAAAAAGGCAAACAAAGACACCCGCATGCAGCAAAACAAATGCAGAAAATCAATTCCATTTCAATGCATGCATTGTTACACAAACAAAACAAATAAAACAAAAACAAAACAAACAAAACAAACAAAACAAAACAAAACAAAACAAAACAAACAAAACAAAACAAGCAAAACAAAACAAAACAAAACAAGCAAGCAAACAAGCAAAACGAACAAAACAAGACAAACACACAAAACAAAACAAAACAAAACAAAACAAACAAACAAACAAAACAAATAAAACAAAAACAAAACAAACCCGCGGAAGAGTCTGAGGAGGCGCTGTCTTCTGAGGCCCTCATTCGCTTTGCAGGAGGCTGTAATTCCTTCTGAGCAAAACAAACGCAATTAATAATAATAATAATTTAAATAAAGATAATTTAATAAATGCAATTTAATAATAACAAATTAAATAAATGCAATCAACAACAACAATAATAATTTGAATAAAAACATTTTAATAATAATAACGAATATAATAATAATAATAATAATGTGATACAAAAATAACTTAAATAAATGCAATTTAATAGCAAGTATAATTATAATAATAATATTATGCATGTCAACATGTACAAATACATTTAAATAATAATCGTAATTAGTAATAATAATAAAATTAATTTAAATAACTACGATTTAATGAAATAAGAAGAATAAAACCCATTTAAATACAAACAATAATAATAATAATAATAATAATAATAATAATAATAATAATAATAATAATAATACAAATACAAGTACAAATAAACAATAATAATTGTATAAGAATTAATAATTATTATTATTTAAACAAAAACAACAAATACAACGAGATAATATTTTTAACATGATGGAGAAAGGAAGATAATGATAATAACAATCAAAATTATAAAAGTAACATTTAATGTTTTAATATTATTAATACTATTATTATTGTTAATATTATTATTGTATGTATAGCCGTAACACTACTGCCTACAGCTAAATAGCAAAATATAAGAATGAAACAATTAAAAGCAGTGATAGCAGCAATAATATTAGTAATATTATAACTATTTATAATAATAGCAATAACAAGACCAGCAACCACAATAAAAACAAGAGCAGCAGAAACAAGGCGAACGCAAACAAGAATAAGGATACAGCAGCAGCAGCAATAACAGCAAGCAACAATAATAATAAATAAAACTAGCTGCGAGAACAGCGATAAAAACAAGAGAAATAATGATGACAATGGCTGCTAACCCCCGGGCCCCCACCCTTCCAAATGCACGCATGCATGCAGTGGCAGCAGCAGCAAAGGAGCAGCAGCAAAGCAGCAGGGGCTTACAGATGGGTCTGCTGCAGGGACTTGCTGCAGCTGTGGGGCCGCAGCAGCAAGCGCAGCGTGCGTATTCATTCCTGCCTGGCTCTGCATCTGCAACACTTGTGCTTTACACCACTGTACCATTTCCCTGAACAAATAAAAAAACCTCAACTTTGCAACTCCTCAATCAGCAGCAGCAGCAGCAGCAGCAGCAGCAGCAGCAGCAAGTAGGCCGGCAATACGTGCTACTGCAGCAGCGCGATGTGGGCGCCATCAAATGCTGCCGCAGCAGCAGCAGCAAAACGTGAAGCAGCGGCCAAAGAATAATCACCATAAAGAGCATCCCAAGCAACAGCAAAAGCAGCACAAGCAGCAGCAGCAGCAGCAGCAGCAGCAGCAGCAAACCTGAAAACGTGGGGCATTGTGGCGCCATCATCGAGCTCAACTTCACCCGTATCGAACGAAACCCAAGTGGCTCTATCTTTAAACGTGTTGTACAGCTGAAGCGGAACATAAACCCTAAACTCTAAACCCTAAACCCTATGTTATGTTTTGCAAGCACTGGGCCGAACTCTGTTCAGATGTAATGTACGCCTCAGTCTCAAGCCATTCATATCCACACACCGTTCGCCCACATAACAACGCATGCAACGCATGCATGCATGCATGTATGCATGGGCTACTTGTGGGGCTTTCTGGGTTGCTGTGCATGCACTTCCAGCCTTCACGCGCTGCATGCACTGCATTGCATTGTGCTGTGTTGAATTGTATGGTATTGTTTTGTTTTATGTTGCGTTGCTGCAGTGTACAGACACCTGAAAGTGCGCATCCATGCTAAGCTGCGAGAGGAGCTCCTGAAATGTTTGGCGTTCTTCGACTGAAACCGGGATATCTCCACCTCCCTCTGATGGTGCGAAGCCCTTCGCTCCCCCACGAGATCGGGTTCGTTGTGCTGCACCGCAGCAGCAGCAGCAGACAGAAGTTGCAGTTTGCATACACCCTAAATGTGCGGTACTAAATAGCAGGGGAAACCCAAGCGAAAGAAGAAAATAGACAGAAAGAACAAAGAAAATACAACAACATGATGGAGTGTTTGTCCTCTGGGTCGGGCTTAGGGTGTGGTGCATTTTAGGGTTTAGGGTTTGGTGTCTGAAGCTAAGCGTTTAAAGATCCGGTAGGGTTTAGGGTTTAAGGGTTTGGGGTATGATAGGGCCTATGGATTGAAATGCATTAGAGTTTAGGGGTTGATGCCTACTGATGCTGAGAGCTAAGCGAATAAGAGGGCTTTAGGGTTTGATGTATAATAGGGTTTACGCTTAGTTTCACAATAGGGTTTATGGCTTAGGGTTTATTGTACGATGGAGTTTAGGGCTTAAGGTTAGCTGCACAACAGTGTTTAGGGTTTAGGGTTTATTGTATGTTGGGGTATTCTGGCGGCCTCACTATCATAGTTTTTGGGTGTCTTTGTTTTTGCTGCATTTCTTGCTGCGTTTCTGTGGTTTGTACTTCTAGAAGAAGACAATTCCCAGTGGTCGTCTGCATGGCTAGCAGCATTCCCGTGGAAGCTGCTGCTGCTGCTGCTGCTGCTGCTGCTGCTGTTGGGGGGAGGCCCGAATACGTTGCACAAAGGCTCGCCTACTGTGAGAGCGCTGAATGCAAGCGCTGCTTCATGCGCCATCATCCAGTACTGATGGCCGGGCTCATAGTAACGAAAGGCACAAAGAAAGACAGAATAAATATCATTAAAAACTTCTAAACTACGGCTGTAATACCCTCCCTGCTCCAGCCTATCCAATACTGTCTCCAGGCTTAGAGGCACAGCAGGGAACACCTTTCTCGCTAACTCATTATAATGAGCATCGCTAGGAGACACACGAGGTAAGAAAGGCAGACACACGGGCTGCCTGCACAGCTCTAGCAATATACGCTGCATCCTTTGCGGCCAGTCTTCAGCATCTGCAGCAGCAGGGGGGGCCCCTCCAAGTGGGGGGCCCCCAAGGGGGGCCCCCAATCCTCCACTACGAAGGCGAGATGATCGTGTCTTTGGGAGCTCTGCTACAACCGCTGCTGCAGCAGGGGGGCCCCCATAGCTTGCAACAGACTGCCGACGTTGTCGCTCCTGGGGGCCCCCTAGGGCACTGGGGGGGGCCCCCGCTACGCGTTTTGCTGCTGAACCCTTCTTTGACTTACGAGAGCCTGTAGAGGGCCCCTCCGGCACTTCCAGCAGCCGCCAGGGCCCAGAAGAAGAACCCCCAACAGAAGCAAAGAATGCCTCTATAGCCGCATGCTCGGCTTCTGTTAGATACAACTCGCCGCATGCACAGTGACAGCCGTGTACTGTGCCATTTAAGACAGGAGCAGAGACAGAAGCAACAGACTCAGCCCCTCCTGAACCTCCAGCAGCAGGAGAATTTAATGTTGACGCCGCCCCTGCTAACGAAGGCGTTGCAGGCGCACCGGGGCCTGCAGCTGCGACTGCCGTTGGCGCTGCTGCTTCTGCTCCCGAAGGTACAGCAGCACCAGCAATAGAGGCTGCTGGTGCTGTTGGTGATGCTGCTGCTGCTGCTGCTGGTGTTGTCACTCCTGTTGATGCTGCTGGAGGCGCAGATGGGGACTCCCCTGTGGGGCCGGCAGACGGCACCTCGGCTCCTGCTGGGAGGGATGATGCCGTCGTTGCTGGTGTTGCTGCTGCTGCTGTTGCTGCTGCTGGTGTTGCTGCTGCTGTTGCCGGTACTCCTTCTGCTCCGGGCACTGCTGCAGCTGTTGCGGGTACTGCTGCCGCTTCTGCTGCTGGTGCTGCTGTTGGAGCAACTGCCACTGCTGTTGCAGGCAGTGCGGCAGCTGTTGGCGCTACGGGTGCTGCTGTTGCGGCTGTTGCCGCTTCTGGCCTAGGTGTTGCTCCTGTGTGTGCTCCTTCTGCTGCTGCTGCAGCAGCAGCAGCACCAGTATTAGCAGCAACTGCTGCAGGGGCCCCCCCAGGGTCTGCTTGCTGGAGCACCTGTACGGCCTGTGGGTTTATCTGCTGGGCTGAATGAGCTGTTACCTGCTGCTGTAGTTGTGTTGCTTCACTAGTGATTGCTGTTTCGTTGCAGGAGGCGGCAGCACCTGTTGGGGGCCCCGTTGTGACTGTCATATTCAACTCCAGTGTATGCCCCTGGCCGCCGCGCCACCAGCAGCCGTTCTTGAGAGGGATTGATGGAGAAGTAGAAAAAATGAACCAATATGAGTTATCTGTCCCGCTCCTGCGGTGTACAGAGACTGAAAAAACAAGAAGAAAGAAAGAAAGAAGGAAAAGCCGGCGAGCCAGCAGCCCGGCAGCCGCAGCTGCTCCCTGCAGCCGCAGCGTATGACGGAAGCGCGAGAGCTGATGAAGAATTAGAAGAACAAAAGACACTTCTTGTGTCCATCTACAGAAAAAGCAAAAGAAAAACAATACCTTGCCTCTGGTCTCCACCGTTAAAAATTTAACAGCCAAGCCCCGTTCTGCTGCATGCATGCGCCGGTTGATTGTGCATACCGCGTGGCGGTTCTCGCAGTGGTAATTCCGCTAAAACATTTGGAAAATTTTGTAATTTTCGATAAATCGATGCCAAACATATTTGTTGCTATTTTTAGCTTCTTGTTTTTCCTTTTAAAACGTTGATAGAAGACGAACCTTGCTCCTACGGTGCCAGTCTACTACAAGGGCCCCGAGGCCAGGGGCCCCGCGGCCAGGGGCCCTTTTAAGGGCCCTTTTCTGGGATCCTCTGTGGGGCGGGGAAAGAAGAATGTGAAAAAAAGCGAACTTGTCAATTAATTTGATGAATAAACGGATTATATTGGCTTCTAGTTTCGTACAAACGGATTCGTGAGCGTTAGTTCAGAATCCCACGCTTTCCGTAGCTGTCGATACACCGCAAGAGAAATCCGGAGTGTGGCCGACTGGAAACTCGGTCAGTTCATTTCTTCAGCTACAACGGCCCGATCTGTTGCACGTTGCGCACAGTTTTTGCGAAAGGAAGATAACAGACGTCGTGGCTTTTGCTGAGGCAATTATTTCCTTTTTCCCCCCCCCTTTCGGGTGCACTCAGACGCCTTCTGGCATTTTTGTATTTTCAAGGTAGTAATACCATTTTCTCTCCTTCACACAGCGCAGTTGGCTGAGACTTGTTTCAGATCGGCGTTAGGCTAGTGAACAGACGATGAAAGGGGAGAAGGAGAAAAACCGGAAAAAGCGTCGTAATGTCGCTGAAAAGGCCAAAGTTACGCGCGAGAAGAAACTCATTTCTTCTGCGCAGAGCGCACCTCCGCATGACGAAGAAGATTCAACGAGCAGCAGCGATACGCAGCATGATATACGCGAAGAGGTGCCTGCAGAGGACGGTGGGGCCCCCATGGATGTGGCCAAAGAGGAGGAGGGGGCCCCTGCAGCAGCTGAGACAGATGCAGCGGGAAAGAAAGCACCTTCAGGTGAAAACCCTGTCCATTCATGCAGTGGAGGAAGGATAAGGGATTGGTGATTGGCTGTATTGTCGCCGTCGCTGCTGCCAGCTTAGACACAGTGTGGTGTGCAGCAGCACCAGCAGCGTGTTGCATGCATGCATGGGTTTAAGCATCTGCACCTTCCTCTCTCCTCTGCAGGCGCATCCGGTGGATTCTTTTCGGAGGTTCTGTTTGAAACGTTGGACATTTGTCAGCCAGTAAAGAACGCCCTCAAAGAGATGCAAATGGAACGCCTCACCGAAATCCAAGCCAAGTCGATACCGCGCTTGCTGGAAGGCAAAGATGTATTGGGAGCAGCAAAGACAGGTGATTAGCCCCTTATCTGGATTTCATAGATGGAACATCTTTGTTTGTTCGCTTCAGCAACTGAAACTATAGTAGTTCGTGTTGCCTTTTCTCCTGCTCCTACTCTTCTCTTCTTCCCCTTGCTGCTGGTGCTGCCGCTGTTGTTGCAGCGGTTAGTATAGGATGCTTGCTATTTATGATATTTCATTGAGTTTTCTGCTTGCTGTTTGGTGCTGTCTCCTCAGGTTCTGGAAAGACGCTGGCGTTTCTGATTCCTGCCGTTGAGTTGCTGTACCAAGTGAAATTTTTGCCGCGTAACGGCACGGGGGTTATTATAATATCTCCAACTCGCGAGTTGTCTCTGCAGATATACGATGTGGCGGTGGAGCTTTCCAAGTACCTCCCTCAAACTCTGGGGCTCGTAATGGGGGGAGCTAACAGAAAACATGAAGCAGAAAAACTCGCAAAAGGGGTTAATGTCCTCGTGGCTACACCCGGAAGGCTTCTGGATCATATGCAAAACACAAAGGTGAGAAGGCGGCTCACCTTTGTGTTTTGCAGAGAAGGATTAACAAAACAAACTTGCTTCTGGGTCCTAACAAATTGAATAAATTAAACATTTCGGGTGTATGCATACTCTGAGACACAAAGAGGACTTGTGCATGAAGACCTGGAGCAACGGCAATACAAACTGCTGTCTCGTTGCAGATGTTTTCATACATGCATGCATGCATGCATGATTGTTGGATGTTTGTGTTCAGGGGTTTGTGTATAAGAATCTTTTGTCTCTGGTGATCGATGAAGCCGATCGCATCTTAGAAATTGGATTTGAAGAGGAAATGAATGCAATTTTGGCGTTGCTTCCTAAACAAAGGCAAACATGTTTATTCTCAGCAACGCAAACAGCAAAGGTAGCCGACTTGGCGCGTCTTTCTCTCAAGAAACCCGTCCTTGTGCAAGTGAGTTAGCATTAAAAGCATGCATATTGCAGCTGTCGCTACATGCCTTTCATGCATGCATGCAAGGAGCAGTTGCAGGAAGTTTTTGAATGCATGCGTTGTTTTCCTTTTGTGTTTTAACCTCGCGGCTCCTCTGTTGTTTGCTTTTGTTTGTTTCTTCGTCTTCTTGATTGTGCAGGTTCAGAACGCCGTGGCCACGGTTTCTGGGTTGCAGCAAGGCTACGTGATTTGTCCTGCTGAGCAGCGTTTTTTGTTGTTGTTTACGTTTTTAAAGAAGAACAAAGACAAAAAAGTAATGGTGTTCTTTAGCAGCTGCATGTCGGTTCGCTTTCATGACGAGTTGTTCAATTATATCGACCTACCCACCACCTGCATCCATGGCAAGAAGAAACAAGCAGCGCGAATGTCTACTTACTACGAGTTCTGCGAAGCAGAGGTGTGCAGCAGAGGATAGGATACCCCTGAGATGTACAGGCAGCTACACAGGCCCTTTCGGTGTACAGGCAGCTAGACATGCAGCTGGTCTTTGCATGCCGTCTCTTTGTCGTCTCAGAAAGGAATCCTTCTTTGCACAGATGTTGCGGCCCGAGGTCTAGACATTCCGAAGGTGAGTCTTTTCTTCATTTCTTCTCTTTTGCATTTGCAAAGGAGGAATGAGCAGGCGAGGCCAACTGCCTATTAGCTGCATTTTTGAGTCTAAGTGGTGCTTTCTTGTGCTTGTTTGCATTTGTTGTTGCTTCCCGGATGAACAAAATATGCAGGTCGACTGGATCGTGCAAGTCGATCCTCCAGACGATCCCAGGGAGTACATACACCGCGTAGGTCGCACGGCTCGTGGGGCAGGCGGCAAAGGCAAAGCACTTTTGTTTTTGATGCCAGAAGAGGTTGGCTTTCTGAGGTACTTAAAACAAGCGGGTGTGCCGCTTAATGAATACACTTTCCCCTCGTCTAAACTCGCCAACGTTCAGACGCAGCTGGAGCGCCTCATTGAAAAGAATTATTATTTGCACAAGTCCTCACGCGACGCCTACAGGTCCTACCTACACGTAAGCAAAGGCACCAGTTCTTCTCTCCTTATCCTTATTAAAAGCAACTGTATTATTGCTCTTCTTCATATAAAGCAGCTACAGTTATTCTGAATCTATGCTGATGATAGCGGAATGCAGAGGGATGAAGTACGGGGCAGTCTCTGCTGGTGTTGTTGCTGAAGGGGTGGGGGAGTATTGTTTGTCTTCTTATTCTTCCTATTCTTTCTCTCGTTCTGTTCTTCTTCTGATCCTTATTCGCATTCTTATTCGCCTCATTCTTTGTTTTATCCATATTCCTTTTCTTTACACATATGCGTACTCGTATTCTTATTCTCCGTCGTCTTTTTCTTATTCTTATCATTCTTACTCCTATTCAGTTCTCTTATATTCTCCTTCTTCTTGTTTTTCCTTCTTTCCTTATTATTCTTATTCTGTTTCACTGCCTGTCGCTGCTGCATTTGCATGTCTTGTAGCCGCATACATTTCTGCACAACATAACCATATACTTGCATCCATGTAAACATCGCTTAACATACACCTGCTTATTCTTTTTCGTGCGGCTCTATTTATATCTCGGTAGCTCTATCTCCCTATGCAGGTGGCGTTATGTGCATGCACATAGTTTTGCGCTTGCATATATATATATATATATATATATATGTATATATATGTATATATGCACGTCGATATGCGTCGCCTGGATGGGTATTTATGAATCTGCATCTATATACATACGCGTACTGTCAAAATATATGTATATATATATACCTTTATACCTTCGCACGCAGCGAAGCGCACATATGTGCATGGTTCGGTATACCTAAAGAAGTCCGCCGATATTGTTTGTGTTGTTGTGTGTTTGTTTTGCAGGCGTATGCATCTCACGGTTTGAAGGATATTTTTAATGTTTATAATCTCGACTTGCAGCGGGTGGCCCGGGCGTTTGGGTTTGCAGTGCCTCCAAAAGTAGATTTAAATTTAAAAGCAAAGGGAAGAGGAAACAATGACAAAAAAAATAAAAGATTCAACGCCAGCGGACATAAATTCTCTGCCGCCAACCCATACGGTACGCCCCAGGCCTCTGATATATATATACAAGTATATATATATATATATATATATATATATATATATTTATATATATATACTTGTATATATATATAGCTATAAATATACATACATATATATTGTAAAGTCATATATTCTATATTATATATTATATATGGTAGGTATTTAATACTATGTATATTATTTTAGGCTACTTATATATTTTATATTGTGTATATTCTACTTTTCTTGTATATTTTATGTTATGTTTCTTATATGCTTCTAATTTGCAATAAATTATGTACATGCAAAGAAAAATTGCGTTTTCGTTTTCCCGGCGGAAGCTTTTGCATGCATGAGTGCAGAAGCAGCAGCAATCAGCAGCAAATAGCAATGCAGCAGCAGCAGGCAGGAACGCAGTGGCGGCTATTATCAGCATAAGAGCAGGAACAGCCGCAACACAGAGCAGTACAGCAGCAACAAACAGTAGAACAGCAACAGCAAACAGCAGTGCAGCAGCAGCAGCAAACATCAGTGCAGCAGCGGCGAGGCGTTTTCTTTGTTTCTTCTCGCAGGTGTGCGGGCGCCGGATGACAAGCGTCAGTTCTGCCGCTGAAGGGTTGTGTGCTTTTGAAGTGGGTTTATATGAGACCAAGGAATGTAATTAGGTCGCATGCAGTCGTTTCTTTTCTCCCTGTAGCCCTCGCCGCTGCACTACATCACTGCGTCTCAGAACAACAGCGCTCAAACGCCTCTGAGAGAACGACGGACCAATGGTCTACCGCTGCATTCCTTAGGGGTCCATTGCTGCTCCCCGCAGCGGTCCACTGGTGCTTGCCTCAGTGGTCCAGTAAGGCTTTCTTCGGTGGTCCACTGCTGCCTTCCTCAGTGGACCACTAATGCTTTCCTCAGTGGTTGACTTTTGCCTTCTTGAGTCGTCCATTAGTGCATTTTTTGAGTGGTCCAGTGGTTGGTCCATTGCGGGCCCCATGGAGCCGCACGCGTGGGTGTTGGTTTTCTTCTACTTGGCGCAAACTTTGCGGAGTTGTGCGATGTACTTCTCGGCGTCGTTTAGTTGTTGCAGTTCTGCGAGTTTTCTTTCCTGCACAGCCGTATCAGAATTAAAGGGAGCGGAACAATAACCACCAGCTGGATTCTGTTCTTTAGAATATATATAAAAAATAGCAGTAGAGATGAGTGTGTGAGGACAGTTGAAAATCCTGGCTAGCAGCATTAATTGCTGTTTAATGCATTAACTTGGAGAAAAAGATACTATTTAAAAGCTCTTTGTTATTCCTTTTATTCAGTTTGTTGGGGATTAGGGTGAGGAAAAGATTTGGCTGACTCTGGCTCTTTCGATGACTCGCTGGTCTTCTTCTTCTGCACGTTGAAGTGCCTCTGCTTCGGCTTGCTGTTTTTTCTTGAGTGTTTCGAGTTCTTTGGATCTTTCCTCGATTTGTTTGCGGAGTTCTGCCATATGTTGAATTCTTCTTGCTTTTTCTGCTTCTCTCTTTGCCTGTTCCGCTTCTGCGAGCTCTCTTTGGGTCGCTGCAACCCTATCAAATTCTTTCTTCTCTGCTACTGCCGTCTCAACTAACTTCAGCATCTTCTCCCGGTGCTGCTGCAGCCTCGCCTGCGCCAACTCGTCGTTCAGCTTTCGCTGGCGAGCCGCTTCAGCCTCCTCTCGCTGGCGCTCGACACGCTCCCTCTCTTCCATCGCCCTGCAGTGCAGTGCAACCGAAACCCTAAACCCTGGCGTTAACCAGTGGGAGCAGATGTGTGCAGTGCGGGTACAGACAAGAACGACGAACATCAACTCTTCCTTCATCTTTTCTCGCCCCCTATAGTTGGTTTAGAGCAACTGCGATTCAGCGGTTTGCTTTCTAGGCTTCTTCATCGTTATCCACATAGATTCTATTAACGTGTTTTCGAGGTCTTGAAAACTACTGTGCTGCGGCATGCTACTTCATATGCATATAATACAAATGCATAGAATATGTATATATATATATATATATATATATTATACATATATATATATGTATATATGTTGCCCTTCATCCATGTTCGTTACTTTGACAGTTCAGCCCATAGATAGTTTTAAATTTTTAGCTCTTCCGCTCTTCCTTCTGGGTTGCTCCCCTGCCTAACGAGAGTAAAGAAGATGTAAGTAGCAAGAACGGCTGTAGAAGTGTCTATAGGGATGCTGTTTTTGTTGCTAGACTAGCCTCTTCTTCCTGATGTAAATGGTATTGTCTCAGTAATAATAACGAGAAGAACAACAGATGGTGGCTTTTAGACACGCCTTCTTGCTCTAAGTGCGTCGAGCTGAGCTGCCTTATCGAGTTCCCTGTCTTGTTTGGCGTAGATGGCAGCATATCCTCTTTGTTTAGCTGCCTCTAGTTGTTGCTTTTTCTCTTCTTGTTCTTTCTCTCTCGCGTTCTTCTCGCGCTGATACTGCAGAATCTTCTCCTCCTCCAGCTGCTCCAGGGCGGCACGCTGAGCTTTTTCTTTTTCAATTGAATGCAAAAGAGAAGAACAAGCAAACAAATAAACAAACGAGAGGCAGGGATAGATTGCTCGTGTGCTGTACGGGCGCTGCAGATGCAAGCAACCATCACAACTCTCAGACCGATAGACAGACAATAGAACAATTAAAATAAAAAGGCACACGTTTGTCTATATATTGCAACTTTTGTGCTTCTTTCGTTTATTTCTCCTATTTCGCATGCACTGCATGCATTGCAGGCAGGTTGGAAGGTACCCCAGCGCGACGCGGGAGTGCCTTCCAAACTGTCGGCGTTTTAGGCGTGATATTTGTTTGGGTTTGTTCGTTTGCTCGGCGTTGGTGTTTGCTAGTTGGTATTTTATTTTTACGTTTTTACTTGGTTTTATGTGGGGGTGCTGGGCACGAAGAAAACTTCAGAAATACAACGCTCAATCAGCAGCAAACAGAAACAAATATCGAGCAGGAGGCATCAACAGTAAACAAAAACAAAAAGAGCAGCAACACAACTAGCAGCAGCAACAACAACAAGCACAACGGCAACAACAACAATGACGACGGCGACGACCATTAGCAATAAATATATACAGCACTTGCTGAAGTTTGGTTCCAGGGAATTCGTTTTCAGGGCATTCTCCTAAATGCTGATGCGTGCTTTTTCCTTCTGTATAGTGATTTAATCATGTTGTTTTGCTGGTGCTGTGTTTTCCTCCGCGCGTTCGCCTACCGTTTAATATCATTTGATTATGAGCATTAACTTCGAGTTGCAAATTTCTGGCTGCTTCTTCTTTTTGTTTTCTTGAAAGTGCATCTTGAACCTTGAGGGCTTCCATCTGCTTCAGCACAAGTGCTCTTTCCCTTTCTCTCTCCTCCAGTTCCAGTTCCCTCTTCAACTAACCAGCAAAAGAAACATTCTAAAAAGTAGAATGGTAATGAGGGTCTAGGGTTAGGGTTTGGGGTTTGGCGGTTTAGGGATTTGGTTAGGGTTAAGGGTTTAGTGTTAGGATGAGGGGGAGAAAAGGGATTGGTAAAGAGGCGAATTCATCACTAGGGAGGCATCGGAGATGAAGAAAAAGAAGAGAGAACTGAATAAGAAATTAAAGGCTGAAGAGAGTAGGTAGTATCTTGCGCCTTCGGTTTTAATACGAAAGAAGGGATTGAAGACAGTAAATAAGAGATAACTAGGTAAATAAGTGAGCTACGTGTGCCGGCTTTTCGTTTCAGTTTTGGTATAATAATAATACGAGCAATAATAAAAAGAATTGCTACTATTAAGGGGCAGTAGGGGCCTATTAACCAACCTGTTTATTCTTTTCTTGTTTACCTGGCGTTCTGCAATCTGTTGTCTAATCATCGTTTCTTGCATTTTGAGGCGTTGAAGTCTCACTGCGTCTCTTTCGTCGATTTCTTTGACTCTTTTTATCCTTTCTTCTTCCATCATATCATCTAATTCCTTTTGGAGTCTTTCTCTCTCTTCTGCCGCCTCCCTGAGGAAACAGTTTTCGAATTTCAACTGCTCCGCCTAAGCAGCAAATACTTTTAGAAAATATAGATGCGTATATATATATATACGTATATGCATGCATACACCCTCAACAAAAAATTGTAAATATATGAGTTTTTGTTAAATAAATGTATTTACAAGTTTGCATGAAGATTCAAGAAAACAAAGCAGACTCTGTGAAGTACAAGTAAAGGAAGAGCAACTGGGATGCAGCGGAGTTAAATTGTAGTGTTTAAAGTGATTTCCCAAACCTTTTCAATTGAATTTGTCGGCTTCGAATTGCGTCGACTTTGCATTTTAATATGATATTGTTCATGGTGCGGACTTCTTCCCTGTTTTCTTCGCTCGCCTCTTGAGCTCTGCCCAGCACAGAATTCGAGGGAGAATTCGCATTTTCTCCTTCAAAAATATCCCTTTTCCTTCTTTCACTGTCAAATCGCAAAATTCTACTTCGGAGCTCCTGCAGAAAGGAAGTAACGTAGTACAGGAAAACAGGCATCCGGGCGCTTTCTGATTCCGTATATGTAGCTCTCGCGCTTTTGCACGAAAAGAACCAAGAAGACTAAATGTATTTATGAATATACGCATCTTCGCTATTTTATCTGCTTACTGCCGCCCTTTGTATTCTTTCCTCTAAATCCTCTTCAACATTCTGTGGGCGTAAAGGTGCTCGGGAAGTGTCGAGGTCCTTCAGCCTCTGAGGGAACGAAGCGGAAATGTAACATTTGTCTTTTGCGTTATCTTTCTTGTTGTATATTTAAAGAGTGCTACCCCATCGAGCGCTGTTATCTCTTATCCGCTATGTTTTCTATCTTTTGGTGTATATTTGATATCGTTTTTCTTCTTAGGTGCGGGCGGTGCGTGCTGTGTTTCCTCTATCTCTGTCCGTTGTGCTTCCGGTTTCCCGTAGTATTTGTATTTGTATTGTTATTTTTTCTAAACGTATGCACAGTCAGCATTCAACTGTTTGCCTTTTCGGACTTCAATTTCAGAAATGTCCTCCAGGGTGATCCTCGCGGAATTTCTCATGCCGTCTTCGTTGCTGTCTGCTTGTTCAAAGACGGGGTTGATTCGAATGGGAGTATCTTTTCCAGTTATGTACAGACTGCGTCGGTCTAAAGGATAAGTACTCGACTTAAACAAAGTTTCTTCGGCAGTTGAAGAGGGCGCAATCTTCCGGTAACGGAAGCTGCTGGCGCTCCGGCGCTGGCGGCTTTCCTGAGGACAGGAATTAATCTAATTTCTCTTTTTTTTTCTAATTTATTGGATGGCTTGAAAGTACAAAAGAATAAAGGTTCAATACATCCAAATTATGTAGCATCTACTGTGCATATATGCATTTAGATACGTGCAATGATCAGCAAGTCCAGATGACAGAGGAACGCATATATGCATTTAGATGCGTGCAACTCTCAGCAAGTTCAGATGACAGGGGAACTTCAACATTCTTTATCGAACCGTTCTGATAAAAATAATAGGGAATAGGCCGAGCTTTTCGGGATTACGTTAAAAAAACAAAAAAGATATATAACCTTATTCAAATCAATTTGAATAAACATCATTTATTTTTTCTAAGGTCTTGTGCATCACTTCTGTCCGCTTTCGGCATTCCCTTGCACCACTTTTTTGGAGCGTCCCCCACAATTCTGCTTTTCAAAGTTCGAAATTAATGTCGGAATGAAATAAAAGTACCATTATTTCTTCTCTTTATTTCGAAAGAATAGTCCATGTGCAGGGAGAATACAGAAGCTGGCCGTGTTCGAAGTGTACTACAAGGCGGGTCTTCAAAAGGTCCGTTAGGAAGAAATTTAATGAAATTCCAAGGATTAAAGGAAAGGAAGGAAGATATGCGGAAAGGAAATGCAAAAATGGTCCCTTTAGATGCTCAAACGCATGCAAAAAGACTCGAGATGGTACAAACGGTAGATACCGCCTTTCCTTTAGCCCAACAGGACGGAAACGCCCGCACCCAAAAGGATCTTTTATCACATCAAATATTTCAATTCAATTTTCAGACAAGATTATATCCATTTATCTTGACCTTCCGCGGTTCCTCTGCCTGGGGCTCCCTCCGGTGACCTCCAGGCGACAACATGTTGAAGAAAACGTGATCCGTTTCTCGTTTCGCAATTGCACTTTTTATCCAAAAAGATTAATTTCAAAGATGCTTTTAGCAAAAAGCAATAGATTTCAATTGCTGCATTACCTAAGATAAATAATTGCCGCCCTCGTTCGAACTGAAGGCAACAGGCGGTATGGGGGGTTCAAGCCTCCGGCGCAGTTTGGTGTCCAATGATGCCTTTTACTTATTTTTATGTAATTACTTGCCCGTATATTTCCAATTTTCTTTATGTACTTGCATTCACTGGCCATTTTCAGAATTAGTGGCGGGGATTAGGCCACGTCGGATGCTCTCTTTCTTTGATGATGCAGACAGGTGTTTTTCGGTAGCGTCTGAAGTATGCTTCTTTTAAACAATATGCATTTTGATTAAATGTCTCTCACTGTGAGTGCAGTTCTTCATTTAACCCCAGCGGATGAGCAAGCGTCCCAAAACAGTTCGGCTCAATGCGCTTGAAGGCGCGCTGCCCCCCTTGTAAACGAGAGCCGTTGAGATTAGCCAAGGAACGCCATGAGCTCCAATAGAGTCAAATTAATTTGTATAAGAATTCTCACAAACAGTTGACATTCCCCGTCGTCTCCAGGCGTCCTGAGCAAAGTAGCTCAAAGGTCAGGATCTTGTGCGGAGTGGAGACGGTCCGCGTTTCGCTGCAGCACTCTTTGCCGCGCGTCCTGCAAGGCAGTTCCGCTTAACAGCCTACCCAAACGCCCTGTTTGTGCGTTTATTAACACTATAGACAATTTTTAAAGACTTACATGGCCCTCAGTATTCAAATTTCCCGCACGTAGGGATGTATCTAATAGCTTCACACACATCACGGTGCATCTGCCACATATCCCTTTCTCAATGCAGCAGGTGGCCTTGCGTGCCTGGTTGCCCAACAGAAGGGTGGGAGCACTGACGGGGGTGTAGGACCTCTGTGTCCAGATGCTCCCCCTCCCAAGAACGTGGTTTCTATGAACTGTGGGGACATTCCCGGAGGAATCTGTGAAAGCCATCATCCACAGTATGGTGGCCTCTTCACGGTGGGGATGAATTTACAGTGTAACTGAACGGCTAAGAATGAGCAGCAAATGGCCGTACCCAACGCATGGTGACCTTATTCTTTTAACTCGCCCTCCTGCTCGCTTCTCACAGCATTTGAATGAATCGCTAGAGTAAAGCTGCATAGGTTGAAGGTAACTGCCAGTGTTATTTGTCCTAATCTATTTCCCGGAATTCCTGTATTTTCTCCGTACGTTCCAAAGTCGTTGCAGGCTGCTCATGGACATCTGCTGCTGGCGTACGATGCTGGCTTCTAACAACCCGGCCTGATGCTGAGTCAGACAACGTATTGCAGTGTAAAGCAGGGCAGCAGGAGAACGTGAAACTGAAGGGTACAGTGGTACTTTATGAGCTGAGACCCCGCACCAATGGAAATCAGATCATTGCGATAAGTTTTGTTAGGTTGGTGTGCTCAGTTTCATCATCTGCCGCTTGGTGACTTGCGTTGGTCAGGTTACTTCCTATATACCAAGGAGTGACACTAATCGATGCAGCGCCCTATCTTAGCTTTCCTCGTTCAAAGTTTTTCAGTCCTATCACAGAATGTTCCGTTGCTGACAACCACACATCCCTTTGCACCGCGGAAACTGTTTATTGTCTGGGTTTGGTCTTGAGAATCGGTATCATCGCTCTGGTATAGCCGCCACACCCGTGCTCTCGTTTCTAATGAAGCATAATCCAAGAGCAACTGAAGCATTTCTGCTGCGCTGTGAAAACGAAACTACCAGATAATCTAAGAATTCTTTCAGTGCCCAGCATCGTTGCGTGCATTACGTTCAAATGGTCTGCATAGGCGAACGCACTTTTCATGGATTGTTTCTGAGGTGGAAGCATTCTCAGTTGAAAGAACATCTGAATGCTGCTCTCGCTCCAGTTAGACGAGGCCCCGAGTCGTTGGGAGGGCTCCCTGCTCGGTCTATTCTAGTGAGGGAAAGGCCAACTCCTCAACAAAAATTTAAAGAATAATATCTGAAGCGTGTTTCTCGGCAGGGAAATTCCAAGGGAGTGGTGTACACCATGCCTCCCCGCTGTATTGGTGGTGCCCACCGGCTGCACTAGACACGCTAGTTCAACGAGAATCACTACCACCGTGAGGTGCAATGCAGTCGAAATACTTTAGATGAGGGCTCCGCCAAAGCAGCTAATCATCCTCCAATCTCCAGGTGTCCTGCGGTCACTGGCGCAAATGCCGCGGGCTGGGGTGGGGAGGAAGGGCGCTGTCGTGATCTGCAACGCGCCTTTCCGCAACACTACAACGCGTCCCCACAGGTGAGAATAAGCAGACCCCTTTTTATCTGCATGCATTACCAGATGAATCAATTTCTGAACACGTATATGGCATTCCGTGACCAGCCTCAGCTTAATCAGAAGTGCTATTATAAACAACCGCACACCCAGTTCGGCTTCTGCTAGAGATCGTGCTCGTTCTGAAGCTCCAATATCGCTATAACAGTTGCAAAGTGTGGAATGAATTATTTGAATAAGGTGTATCTTCTAATCATAAATACCAATGCTCGTTTCAGCTAAGGATATTCTTGCCTATACAGCCGTCGGCTGTCGAGCCGTACTACACCCCACGCTCCATGTAAATCCATTTATATTAATCGGAGAAAATTTTACAAATTAATAATATATTTTTAATAGAAGCAGAACAGTTCAACACCCCCATATATATGAATGTAGGGTAACCGAGTTGCCCTGCTGCACACGGACGCATGCAGCCCCCAGCTCCGTACGCCTTGTCTTATGAAGACATTTGAAGACAATAGACACACGCGTTAATTTGCGTTGATTTGTTCGCCGTTTCTTTGTCCATACACCTGTTTCTTCATCATAAGAACCCTGCAGAGTGGGTCAGACGGGTAGACAGCAGCACAACAACCCTAACGAGCGCACTTCTCTAAGCTGGAGTGTGGTGAATACTCGTGTGTTTTCTCTTTCTGGGGTCTCTATTTCAAGTCACATCGTCTCATCACCTCAGCAGATACAGACACCGCCTCGCCCACCATTGTAGCTGCCGTCTACGGCAGCCCTGCAGCACTGGAGTAGCTGCATAATGTCCGTTGAAATATGATGCATTCTTCCCCCAGAGTCCGACTGTTGGAGGAGCGCACATTCTCATTATTTTTTCGTTTGCTTGCGTCTGTGCTTGTTTCTGTACTTGCTGGGCAGCTGCGAGTGCTGCACCTGTGCGCCTCGTTGGAGCATCCTTTGTTTGCTTGTCTCTTCTCCATACTACTATTGCAGCTGTTGTTATAAGCAGTTCATATATATCGCATCGTTACTTATTTTATTCCTACTGCTACAGAGGCCTTATGCTTGCGTTGTCTTTTTGTGACTTCTCTTCAGGTGTTCTTCTCGCTGCCTAGCTCCCTGCTACGTATTCGATGGGAGAGGAATGGCTTCACCTGGAACTGAATCCCCTGCTGGCGCTGCATCAGCAGCAACAGGAGCTGCTTCTTCTGGTGCTCCTTTACTGAAAGATGGTTCCCGTCGGCCCCTGACGTATGCGGAGTTGTGCAAGGATTCGCTGAGAGCTGTCTCCATGGAAAACGGCCTGCAGTACAGCGCCATATACTGGGAGACTGGACACCGAACTTGGTTACCTTTTTGGGCTTCCTTTACGCAGAAGTTCACTTGGAAACTCATTGATGATCAGGTTAAATAGAATGCACTTCACAGACAGAGCAAGAGAAAGAGAGACGGAAATAGGTAGATGCAGAGGGGGACGGGCAGATACAGAGGGAGATACGCCGATTAGTATGACATTGAACACGCACTTACACATATCAATGTACTGACACAGAAATGCAGACAACAGCAGACAAAGGAGAGGGAACGGAAGGAACGAAAGAGACAAGGAGAGCGAGGACAGAGACGGAGGGAAAGTGATAGCGAAACACTACAAGAGAGAGTGGGAGACAGAGACGGAGAGAGAGAGACAGAAAATGAGAAGGAATGAGGCGTTGCCCTTCAAGAGACGCTCTTGCGCCTTTCTCTTCTTGGATCTATCTTAGTGTTGCATTGATCATTTTGTGTGTTTGTTCTTCTGCTCAACCGGCACTTGCATTATGTTGCTGTGTGCTGTTCGCAGTTACGCCGTTTCTTGGGTTTCACCTCTTCTGTAACAACTGAGCCATTTGTCTTTTACTCCTCTCCGCGCACGTACATGCGGCAGTACGTAGGAGACCCGGACGTACACCTGACGTCTCCTTTGAGTGTGAAGTGGCGTTTTGCTTTTTGTCCCACGGGCACTGAGACATTTGAAGCCTACGATCAGCAGGTGCAAGAAGCGCTGCTCGCGAAGGGAGCAGCAACGGGCACCCAGCGGCAAGAAAACAAACAAAAAGCCGTTCAGGCCATCTTGAAATGCGCACAAGAGGCAGACAAACGATAAGACGAATGCATTAGGGCCTACTTCACAAAAAAACAACAAGTAGTACGTGCATGTATGCATGCATGCATGCATGCATACATGAGTACGGCAATACGTCACTTGGCGGAAACCTGCATGGGTGGATAAATGGATGCATGCATCTTCCATGCATGCATGAGCGTAACACGCATCAAAAGGACTTAGTTGTTCCAGGATGGAGAGGGCGGCGCAGCAGGAGGCGACGACAACTCCTTGCTGCGGAATACAAGCACAGCAGCAGCTGCAGCAATATTTCGCCAGCAGCCTCAGCAGCAGCAGGCTGCAGCGTTACGAGACACTCCTGTAATTGCGGATGTTAACTGCTCTGTGGCTCGAGGCTTTAACTGACGGAGTCAGTGGTGTCTGCACACCTGAATGCGCACTGCGTGGTTTCCTGCTTGTTTAACTTCTTAGAAGCAATTTTTTTAATGAATGTGCAAGTGAGACCAGAAGTACGTGGAGGCGCAGCGATGAAGTACTGTACACGGACATCATTAGACATTGTCGTTGTCTTCTGTACAAATCTCCTTAGCACAGCTAGTGGCGGCACATGAATTCAGAAAAAGGCATCATTTTAGGGCGAGCGACGCACTCTTTGATGACGATGCTGCACCATTCATGCCAGTCAGGGGTAAGAAGGCCGGTGGCCCGCATACAGCGCAAATCTTTAATGAGCTCCTCCATTAAAGAAACATGCATGCATGCCTTCGCTTTTCAGCCTGACGGTCCCTCGAGGGCTACTGTTTACTGCCCTACGGCGGTGGATGAACTGGTGAGCGGAAGCAACCCAGAAGGGCCAAAAATGTTCTGCAAAAGTACGGGGGAAGATGTCGTTGCTATTGCTGTCACGCGGATCAAGAGCTGCCGTTACCCTGCTGTGTCTTGTTGCACAGAGGCGCAGCTCAGATATCTGCATTCGCGTGGGTGTAACAGGCAGAGCGGCATTTGCGTACAGGCGCAAGTCCCAATTGTTTTGCGTTCAAGGCGCTTGTTAGTGTCAGTGCGGGCTTTTTTTCACAAACACACTTTGAAGTGGAAATCCAACGGAGGAGGCGAAAGTGTTCGTCGCCGCAGGCGCGGCTGCGGGCATTTTCTGGCCCGTCTGTGGGGCTGCTGAGAGTCGTAATATTCTTTACCATTGTTAATTTGAATTTATGAATCTAAAGAAGAAATGATGGCCGCATCTGTCTCATTCAAAGCCTCCGGCTGGCGTTCAGGCGGCGTCGCCCCCTAGGGAAATGCCTATAGTTTGGTTTTTTAAGGAAATCAGCAGAAAATGAAGGCAGGAGATCTGGCAATACAGCAACGGTACATAATTCGTACTACTTTACAGCGAAAGATGAACGGGGATGGTTGTGATGGATTCGGTGCTGACAAGGTGGGTGAGGTGTATCTACAGCCGACGCGAACGTGGTGCGATGCATGTTGTTTGAACTTGGGCATGAGTGAGTGTGAGTTTGTTGGTGTCTGAGTGGGTGATCTTCTCCGTTTTTTCCCCCGCGTTTGTGTTTATTAATGGCGTTGCGTCATACTAGGCTTGGAGCGTATGGAGTATCCTTTCTAGAGAGGCGCAGGACGGCCAAATTGGTAGGAGAGGCGGCAGAGTGGGAACAAGGAAACTGCTGCCCTGGCCTGGTCGTTGTGTGAGCGGTGCCTCTTTTCGTTTTGTTTTTTAATTGTCTGCTCTTAGCTTTTAAATTCTTTCGTATTTTCAACTCGCATGCTGCAGCCGCCCACCGACACACCACGGTTTCTTATTGGGTACCCCTGTGGCCACGCGGCGGCCCCTCCCTGCTTTTCGTTCCTGCGGCAGGAGCGGCAGCCACATCTTCACCCGTGGATTATTTAAGCTGGCGAGACATCTGGGGTTTAGTTTAAGCTTCTCGTTACAGCAACAATGTTGCACACAGACACCTGGGCGAGGTACCTCGCCCATGACGCGCCGTGGATGGAGTCTGCGCGTGCAGTTTTGTCGCCTTTAAAGAGCTCCATTATTCATTCTCACCCCACAGTCACCCATATGTTTCGCCAGGTAGACACTGCAGCAGAGAGCATTCTATCTTTCTATGCACCCGACCTCCCCGCCAGCAGTCGCCAGAACAGCGGCCTGCCTCTAATGGATGGGAAGGATGTCGCCATCGTCATATCCGCTTATCTCCTCCTCGTAGCTCTCAGCCTTCTCGTAGGACGCGGGTCCACCACGCAGGCGGTTACCCAAAAGAGGGAAAAACCTCTGCTTGAAAAAATGGGCCCTGTCTTTGTCTGTCAAGCCATCTATAATATAGCACAGGTTCGTTTGCTTGTTTGTTCGTTTGTCTTTGTCCTCCAAGCGATATACAGTCTCGCGCAGGTTCTTGCTGGTCTCTCTGTCTATAAAGCGCCTACACAGATTTGTTTGTCGTCCAAGCCATCTTATAGTGCAGCGCATGTTCTTTGTTGGCCTGTTCGCTCGCCGCCTGCTCGCTTCAGGCTGCTTTCTGTCCACGTATCCCATTCTTCTGGGTGTCTGTTTGTGGGTTTTATGTATACCAGGTGATTCTTTGCGGGTTTCTAGTGGCCCGCGTATTTGATGTATGGCGGGCCGAAGAATATTCTTTTATATGCAATCGATTCAACGTGCCCAACACGCGCATGGCGGAGGTCACCTGGTTCTTCTACATGTAGGTTTATGCATCTATATTCTTTTTTGTTGCCCTTACGCTTATTTCTTCCTCTTGTCTGTTTCAAGGCTGTATGCAGTGGACAGATGAGCGGGCTGAACAGGCGGATGCTGCTTCTTTTTCTTGAATACTTTCGTGCTGCTGCTGGTTCCGCTGGTGCTGCTTGTGCTGCTGCTGCTTTTAGGCTGAAGTACGTCGACCTGTTGGACACTGTGTTTATGATAGTGCGGGGAAATTGGCGGCAGGTGTCTTTCCTGCATGTTTATCATCACTCTTCTGTTATTTACATCTCCTGGGTGAACGCGAGTGTTGGCTATGACGGAGAGATCTACTACGTCGTTGCCCTCAAGTATGTTTTATCCTGCTCGGTGTTTTTCCTGCTAATTTCCATCCGCCAGTCGATCCGCCATGAGTCCCTTATTTCCTTAGCTGTTTTTTTTTTTGATGTTGTCCTTCTGTTTGTTCTGTTTGTGTTGCTGTTGTCGCTCAGTTCGTTTCCTGTGGGTTGTCTTGAGTTGTGTTGTTTTTCGCTTCGTTTCGTCCATGTGACAGTTTTCTTGGTGGTTTCTGATGCTATGCTGTTGTGTTTTTCTGTGTGGTGTTTGTGCCTCTCGTACCAATTGCTTTATATGCGTTGTTGTGCGCACCCTTTGCTGTTTTATTTGTGTTGTTTTGTTTGCAGCGCTTTGGTGCACGTGGTGATGTACGCGTATTATTTTATGGCGAGTCTGAACAGTCCGCTGGCGCGGACAATAAAGATATTTGTAACGCAGCTGCAGATGGCTCAGTTTCTGTCTATGACGGCGCATGCTTGTTATCATGTGTATTTTTACAAGTCTTGCCGTTACCCAGTGCGCGTGACCATTGGTTACTTCTTCTACGTCCTCAGTCTCTTTCTGCTCTTCCGCAACTTTAGCAAAAAAACATACGGAAAAAAACCTGCAACAGCTGCTGTTGGTGCTGCCAGCAGCAAGGACGGCAGAAGCAACACCAAGGCCAAAGCAGCATAATATATAGACGCTTATCTCTCTCTCCCTCCTCTTTCGTGTTTCTGCTGCTGCCGAGTGCAATCAGTAGCACGAATATATGTACGCATACGCACACAATCACCTGTCTGTCTTCTCGTTCTTGTTTGGTGTTTGTTGTCTTTTGCGACGATCGCGCAACAAGGGCTCAGCAATGAGCCACCAAACAACTTGCACCATTCAGCAGAATGAAGTGGGCAGCAACAGCTTTTTGTCTGCTGAAGGTGTGCGTGCTTTCCTTACTTCTACCTATGTGAGTAGACTTATGCATATGTGAAGCTCCTTTAAGTTCCGTGGGGGAAGCAATTGAGCAAAGGAAAAAAACAAAAAAACACTGCAGTGGTGTTTGCAAAGAACAGAGGAAACAACCGCCAGCGCGCGGTGTTTTACATATATATAATAAATCCTTCGCAGTTGAACGTAGAAACCCGAATGTAGACGTCTAATGAATAATACTGTGGAAATAATAACTTATTCATCCAATTTGCGATTAAGTTCACTGCAATCAATGCCAGCCACCGCCTTGCAGGGAGAGGGTTCATATGTGGAGTGAGGGCAGACCTCTGATTAAAATATCGGGTGGAAATCCTCTGGTTGTACGTCCACCGTGAAGTTTAAGTCACAGAGTCCATGGAAAACATCTAAAATGGGATATTTCATTTGTCTCGGAATTTGGTTTTTCAACATGTGGAAACGCAGGAAGGTGGGCGGCTTCTTGAAGTAGCAGCAGACCTGCAGTATGCGCAAGGCAAGAAAATTTACTAGATGCTTCAAGTGCATGCGAAAAGTATAATGAAGGATGAAGAACAGGAAATATAGTACATAGTAGGAAACTTAGCCAAGGTTCAGTGTACGATGTGTCGTGCTTAACCTGTAAGTTTAAAAGGTTTAGGTTTTAGTTCTAAACCCTAAGCATTAGAAGTAGGCACTTGTGCAGCAGAAGTACGAACAAGCGTGTGCAGAAGAAATCCCATTTTTATTTATAATAATCGATGCACATTACAAATAAAAATGAATATAGGGGAAGGAATCAGCTAAAACAAACCCTAGGACGGGAGAAGTGATTGCAGTCCGGTGAAAGGCAAATATCAAAAGAAATGCAACGACAGAAATGCAGTATACTTAATAAATACAATCAAAAACACGGGGTAATGTAGAGAACATTCTATTTAATATTTTCAATCACCTCTGAGTGTCCGCAGTTCAAATGGGCCTCACGGCATTTTTCGCTGCAATACGAAGCGACGTGACACCTGCAGCAAAACAGGAAGAATATTGAGTGAAGTATTTTACATAGAACAAGCAACGAAGAAACCGTCAAATATATTAAGCAGAGCAGAACGTCAGCTGTAAACCCTTTCTTTAATGCCTGAGAGTATGCATGCGGAGCATGCGAATGCCTGTTGTCATCAATGAAGAAATAAAAACAGCAATGAGGACAAATATTGATCGGAACATGCATATATATATATATATATATACGTGACAGTGATAGAGGCGGCATTGGTTTCTTCTTTATTTGCTATCCACTGACGGAAATGCGTTTAAACGTTAATTCTTCACAGTGCGCTTCACTTCGGTGTAAGGACACTGGAAAGATAGCAGCAGTACAAACGATTTTTCTTTATTCCTTTCTTGCCTCACTCTGGACAATAGTGCATGCTTTCTAGCGTAGGCCCTGTTGCTTGACCTTGAAAAATAACGGCTTTACACCCCGGCATCCAACAAGGAATTACAGGGCTCTTCCACTGTCTGTACAGAGGCATCGTCTCTAGATCCTGTTGCTGCTCTTGCTGCTCCTGCTGATGCTGAGGGTGCAGCAGATTCATCTGCTCTAATGCCTGAGCTGCTCTGACAAAACGTCCAGTTTCAAAATTTTCTGTGTTCTCCCTCCGAAGGAAGAAGTATTCTTCTCGGGGTATTGCGGTGTTTGCTGAGTCCAACAAAGGAGGACTTGGTGGCCTTTTCGTTTTATCCCCTAATTTGCTAATGCCGCTTCGAGTTCTCCCTGTCCTTCTTGAAGCTTTTGCTGTTCTTGCTGCTGGTGCGTTCTTGCGCGGTGTGCTCGTTCGTTCGTAATCATCTAATGTTGTCAAGTCCGACTTCCAGTTTATGTAGGGGACCTCCCATGTGCTCTGCCACAAAGAGGGCCAAGGCCCCCCACCCCGGAGGCCCCAACGCTGGGGCAAGGTGAAAGGCAAGAGAGTATCGGGGTTTATGTCTTCTTGTTCAGCTGTCTGCAATAAAAAGAAAGAAAGTAGAGACGAGAAGCGCACAACGACAAGACTATCTCCAGCTGCATCTACACAGCAAAAGAAGGCATCAAATTAACCACCTGCCAAAGCAATGCCAAGCGTTGCGTTATTTCCCGTTTTTGTGTCTAACGTTGCTGTTGTTGTTGTTCTTTTTTTTCTGGTTGGTTGTATTACTGCTGCTATTTTTATGATTACTATTTTTTTAGTTGTTGATGCTGTTGCCTTGTTCGGTGCTGTGTTCCTCTGTTGCTGTTAGTGCTGTGCTTTGCTACTGCGTATCGTTTTATTTTGTTTTGTGCGGTTGTTTATTTGTTTTTGTGTATTTTCTGTGTTACGAAGAGAGATGCTTATTGCCTCACCTTCTTAAAGACATCTCGAAGGCAAACTGCCGCTTTCCAGCAGAAGTCCAGCGTTACGTTTGTTAGGAGTTGTACTTTTACTTCTCTCAAAGCAGGAATAACAATTGTGTCTAAAGCTGTGTGCATTTCCCTCGCGCGACTCAGCAGGATTGGTGCGGTGTCTAGGCAGCTCAGGTACATCATATCAGCAATAAAACACAAAACAGTTCGGCACAAATATACATTTAAACCGCGGTGTAGGCTTCGCCGCAAGTTGCTCCAGAGGCTCAACTCCCTGCTCATCTCCTCTTCTTCCCCGTTGATGATCTGCAGCAAATCTTGAAGCAGAAAAACAGCAACGAGCACGAACGCACCGGGAATGTGTACGCAGGAAACTTCAATTGCACTAGGGCCTAGATCTTCGTTTAATATTTTTGTTTGTTGTTCGCAAAGGCGAACTACACAGAAAAGGAAGGCAATGCCTCCTTGGATGTCCAGACACTGTCTGGGTTTGCTTTACCTGCTGCCCTCATTGCATAGAGAACTTCTGTTAGCATTTCTACATAACTCGTGACAAGACTGGCAGCTTGGGGGGAGTTGAAGACCTGAAAAAAAGCAGAAAGAAACACTCAGGAGAAAATCATTTCCGTCTTCTGTCTGTTGCGTAGTGTGGTGTACGTACACCATAGCAGGACTTTGGTGTGTCTGTCAGACCTTTTGCTCTCCAAGTATGCAGAAGAAGGCCTTTGTGAGAAACGAATCGAATAACCTGAAGCAAATGTTTTCTTTCTTTTCCACATGTGCGGTATATTCAGTTGAAAAGGGCAAAAGCTTGCAAATGGCCTCCACGTTGTATTTCATTGCTAAACAGGAACACGAACTTTTTAATAGAGTCATTAACTGCTGCTGCGCGCGGCGGAGCAGCAGAGCTCTATCTTTGTCTGTGAGTTGAGGAAGTAGAGTAAATGACGAAGGGGAGTAAGAGGATGAACAGGCTGCAGTTGAACTTGTTGTGGTGTCTGTACAGCAGTTGCCGCCCAGGGCTGCCCCTAAGGTACCGCTTCTGCGGCATTTTATTATTGCTTTTTCTCTATTTCGTTCAAATTCCAATGGAGGCTCGTAGTTATCCTGCCCCCTCCAAGACAGCATGTGCAGCATATAACTGATTCGATATTCAAAAAACTGGAGGCCGTTCAGACGAAACAAAAGACGCAGCAGCCCCGGCACTCTTGACTCCAATATCACTGCAAACAGAGCATCAATGAGGAGAAAACAAGAGAAAAAACAAACAAACACAAGTGTCTATATATATGGATCTCCATATATATATATATATATATATATATGCATTGTCGTATGTTGCGCGCAACGAAAGATGCAACGCGAAAGAAAACTGGGGTATGGCTAGCAGCTCAAGCGAGCCCGTTTTGCTGTCTATACTGCGGTGCAGTGTTGTCCAAACCAAGGCGCAGCAGAAGAGACTATCCATCTCACCTGTCAGGAGATAATTTGCAATCCTCCCCATCCGACTCAATGCGCGTGTAGCTAAACACCACTCTGCTGCTGAAGTTGCTTCTTCTATTAGTAGGCGCGGGCTCTCAGCAAAGCGCATATCAAAGAGATAAAATCTCTCCATTACAAGCGGAATAAGCAAAGAATGAACCAACTCAACCGCTTCACAAGGCTTCATTATGTACTTGTTTAAAAGAGACTGAGGGTTAGGCACCGCAACACGAAGGCCCTCCACCTTCGGCTTCCGTAGCAACTTTATCAGCGCGGACGTCGGAGGCAGCTGTACACAGACAAACATAATCCCCGGCAGCGATTAGAACTGCGTTCACTATAGAGCCCTTCTCTCCTCCGCTTTGCTTTGTACAGGTGTTTGTTTGTTTCTTGTTTGTCATTTGGGTGTCGTTCTTTGTTGGCATTTGGTGCGTTTGTGTTTATCTAGCCCCGCATATTTCTTTAGTCTCTGCTGGCTATTCATATCCGCTTTCTGTTTATTCGGTGGCTGTCTGTTCAACTCGCGACACCCCAAACCATAAACCCTACACACTTAACCTTAAACCCCAAGCCCTTCGCCATACGCCCACGTGCCCCTCTCGTCTAATATATACTACAGAACACCCGCTTCTTTCTCTGTTGTCGCGGGAGGTGGAAAAGCGCGAAACAAAGGCACTGTTTACCTCATTACTCCATTTGCCTCCGAACTGTCTATACACCTCGTGCACTATTTGGTACAAGAGCCTTAGTCTTTCTTCGTCTTCTTCTTCTTGAAGTTCGCAGTAAGTTAAATGCCGCTGTGCCCAGACCTTCTTTATCTTTTTAGGGTCTTCATATATTCCTTTTTCGCCTCCTGCTGCTTCTGCATTTCCTGTTGCTGCTGCTCCTGCTGCCACTGCTGGACTTCCCGCTTCTGCTGCTGCTGGACTTCCTGTTACTGCTTTACGACTCCTGCTCATTTGAGAGAAATCCGCAAAAGGGTCAAAAATGCTGGCGCGGCGAATCTGAGAATTTCCTTCCGGATGATCGCCGGGTGTATACATCCTTGTGATGTCGCGAGCTGTACACACAGTCACAGAACAAACAGAAAGCAGATACTAGTAGCCGGCAGGGAATAAAGAAATATGTGGGGCCAAAAAAACACGGAAAAAACATAAACGCACCAAATGCTACCAAATAACGACACCCAAATGACAGAGAGAAGCAAACAAACAAACAAGCAAACAAACAACTGCATACAACAAAAGAGAGATGAGGACATCTCTTCACTGAACACAGTCCAAGTCATCGGGGGGCCCTAACCTTGGGTAGGTTTAAATGCATGCGTTGCATATAGGCACAAATGCGAAGACATTTACACTACATACAGCTGTTTGGACTCTGAGGTTCATGTGGTAGGTATAGAGCCTAATTCATGCTAATACCTGTACATAGTATATATATATATATATACATGTATATATATGCATATTATACATATGCACCTACAAATAAGTAGTATACATGAGGGTCTGGTTCTGCAGCCACGTGTGTGTGTGTGTGTGTGTG